GAGCCAAAACATGACACCTTGGGATCTACCACCAGAACGGCTCGGGGAACTATGACTAGGCCAGCTCGGGATCACTCGCCGAACTGGCTCGGTAAACGACGATCAAATCGGCTCGGGATCAATCACCGAATCGGCTCGGGTTAGGACATGATTAAACCGGTTCGGGTCATCCTGCTTCAGCTCGGAAACGAGACCCAGAATATCCTCACCCGAGCTGAATTCTCCCTTCGTCCCGAGCCGATTTGGCAAAATCACCCGAGGCAAAGAACCAAGTCACCCGAGGCAAAAAGGACTTCGTTCACCGAGCAGAAATTCATAGAGTGTCCCGAGGCAAAGACTTAGTATTCGCTTTCAAAGTACCATTTCCAAGCAAGGCATCATTTCCGAACAAGAAGGATCATTTCCGATAAACCCGGAAATGATAAAGAAGAATCACGAAGGATCAACTTAAATCAGGAAATCTTCCAAAAACTCCGAAGAATAAGGAAATTATCCTGATCCGCGATATTCTACACCGACTTCAAGATAAATGGAAATCTTCCGAGAATATCGCTGGAGATGCGGTTTATCACCCCTATAAAAAGAGACTCAAGGCTCTCGCAGAAAGCAAGCAATATCGTTCTAGGATTTACACTACGCAAAGCTCTCACAGCACAAACATCTTTTTCTTTTACGATCAAACTCTTGTACGATCAAAACTACTCTTTTCATCAATAAGATCAAGAACACCATCTTTGGTTACAATTGTTTCTGTTGTTCTTTGAGAATTCACATTTATCGTATCCCTAAATTAAAACCCTAGACAAATCTCGATTGTGTTAGTTTCGACTTCCACATGTAGTACTCCTTCCATCATCTTCATCAACGTTGTGACTGCTATCACTAAAACCTACTAACTCTGTTTTGCTTCCACGACAAAAGCAGAGGCCATACGATCGGGTTCCTTGCAAGTATCTAAGAATTTGTTTCAAGGCTGCTCCATGAGACTCATTTGGTTCATGCATGTACCTGCTTAAGACTCCAACACAGTATGAGAGATCCAATCTTGTATGAAGAAGGTACCTGAGGCATCCGATACTTCTCCTATTCGCCTTCTCATCAATATTTTTCTCTTCTTGTGCTTTGCTCAACTTCAGATTAGCACACATTGGTATATGAACTGCATTCAAGAATTTTCTTCGCATATCTCTCTTGACTTAGCAAAATACCATCCTCAATTTGAATTACTTCAATTCCAAGATAATAAGTAAGCTTCCCAAGGTCACTCATCTCAAAGTTTCTTGCCATACCTTTCTTGAATTCAAGTATCACTTCCAAGTTAGTATCCTCATCGAAAACAACATCTCTACTTACCACCAGAGTTTGCTTTGTTGGATCAAGTAAGCGATAAACTTTTGACCCTGGTTCAGTTCCTAAATGTACTAGCATTCTAGATCGATCATCAAGTTTCTTTAGATGTGTAGCTTCACTTTTTACATATCCTATGCATCCAAAGATATGTAGATGATCTACATTCGGCTTCTTGTTCTGGAATGCTTCATAAGCAGTTTGATCCACTAATGTTCTTGTCGTAACTCTGTTAATGATATAGGTAGCGTGTCTAATGGCTTCTCCCCATAAGTAATTAGGAACATTCATATGTTTTAAGATGCTTCTGGTCATCCCCATTAAAGTTCTGTTTTGCCTTTCGACGACTCCATTTTGTTGAGGAGAGTATTGTGCGGTTAGGTGTCTTTGTATACCAGAGGCATCACAATAGGCTTGAAATTCAGTAGATAAAAACTCACCACCCCTATCAGTTCGAAATTTCTTGATAGTAGTCCTGGTTTCTTGTTCTACACTTGCCTTGAAACTTTTGAACTTGTTGAAAGCTTCACCTTTTTCTCTTAGAAGGAGCGACAACATGTACCGTGAGTAATCATCAATTAAGACAAAGATATACCTGTTCTTTGATGGCGTGGAAGGAGTGATGGGTCCACAGAGATCTCTATGAACAAGTTCAAGTATACCTTTAGCTCGGTACGATGTTGATTGCGGGAAAAGATTTCCTAACTTGCTTGCCAAGTAAACACGGGGAACACATCTCCTTTTCAATCTTGATGATTGGAATACCAAAGACAAGTTCCTTTTCTACCATTGTCTTCAAAGTCTCTGTTCCAATATGCCCTAACCTAGCATGCCACCTTGAAGAAATATTTGAAATCCCGAGTTGTAAGCACTTGGTATCCTCAGCTTCCAAGAAAACTTTGTAGAGACGGCCTTAATCCATCAGGGATATCTAATGAATTCCACAGACTTTGATTGAAACCATTTTTTTTAGATTTCGGAATAAGGAAAGCTTGCTTATATTCATACTCTAATGAAATCTCCAACCGATAAATCAAAGCGAGAAGACGGTTGGGAAAACAAGGAAGGATTGTTTCTTGATTTTATGGCTTTAACCAGTAGCTTGCTGTCTCTGTCGTAAAGAGTTAGGTAATCTTTTCGCATTCTAAGATCACAACACGATTCAGTAGCTTGGACGAGACTCACAATGTTACTTCTCAAATCTGGAATGTAGTATACATCATTTAAAATCCTTCGATCTCCATTCTTTGCAACAAACACAATTGAGCCCTTTCCTATTATGTCAATTCGAGAATCATCACCAAATCTCACCTTTCCTGTGACCGACTCATCAAGCTTAGAGAAATAAGCTAATATACCCGTCATATGGTTGCTAGCTCCATTGTCCAAGTACCACACATTGTCATTATTAGAACTTGTTACGAACTTGTTTGGCACTACATTCTTTTCATTCAAATACACAACTTCATGCATCATTAATGCATCCGCCTCTTTTGTGTCATCGTTCTTGGTTTCTTCCATCTCTTGAAGTTTAAGCAACCTATCCGGGAAATCTGAGGCATAGTGTCCCAACTTATCACACCTATAACATGTGATCTTGCTTGCATCTCTGTATCCACCATTGTTTCCTTGATAACCATTACCTTGATAGTAACTAAAACGCCCTCTTCCTCTTCCACGTCGGCCACCTTGGCCTCTTCCTCTGTTTGCATACCACGGTTGTGTCTCAGAGTTTGCATACAAAAGCTTTCCTTGATCCTCTTGATTATCTTCTTCATCACAAATCCTCTCCTCATAAGTTTTTAGCCTTCCAACAATGTCTTCAAAGCTAGTTGTGTTTAGATCAAGAACTTGTTCAAGTCCGCGATTATGTGTATATATCTCTTTCGTGGTAGACCGTTTAGGAACTTCTTTACAAGCTTCTGTTCTTCGATATCATGTCCAAGAGATGCTGACTTTGTAGACAATTCCGAGAGTCTTTCGGCAAAATCATCAATTTTTTCGGTTTCTTTCATCTTAATTCTCTCAAAATCACCCATCAAAGTTTGTAGCCTTGCGTCTTTTACTCTATCAGCTCCTAGGTGTCTTGCTTTTATCGCATCCCATACTTTTTTTGCGGTATTAGTTTTCCAACTTGTAGGGTAAGCGCTTCGGGAATTGATTGGAAGAGAAGAGCACTCGCCATATTATTTTTGTCAACGTCGTCGGATCCTGGTTCAACGGTGTCCCAAACTTTGTGAACCTTAAGTGTCATCGTCATACGTATGGTCCAGAATGTATAGTTAGTCGTATTAAGCATCGTACATGTATGGACGATGGACTGCCTCCTTCTTTGTTACCAGCCGGAATTATGTCTCCCATGGTGACTCAAAAAACGTGAACTTTGTTTCTTCTCCGTGAGGGTTTGTTTCAATAAAGCTCTGATACCAATTATTGAATCAAACAAGTTTAAGAACACAAGAATAAAGAATAACTCTCTTTATTAATCTCAAGCTCTCAATCTTACAATCTCTCTTTCTCAAACTCTTAAACTCAAAAACAACTCTTAGGGTTAACCACAACTTTGGCAACTCCTTTTATATAGAAAAACACAAGACCTAATCCAAGTCTAATGAGGAAGTATTTAGATAACTCCTAAACACTTTTGGATAACTTCCAAAACTCTCAAACTATATCTCATTTTTATTAGTTAACTTATAACTCAAGTTAACTAATCCTCAAGCTTTATTCAAGCTTAACTCAACATTATTATCTTATCAAACAATAAAAAACCAATCTAAAAAATATAAATTGTCAAAACCAATAAAAAAAGTAATTAATTTTGCGTTGAAAATTGAAAACATCATCTATTTAAAAACAAAATTAGAAACTTAAAACATCACTTATAAAAGAACGGAAAAAATATATTATCCGGCTAGCGAAAGACAAGATTTCGGCATGTTTTTTTTTTTTTTTTTTTTTTTTTTTTTTTTTTTTTTTAATGTTTTGTGCATCAACTGAGTCAGTCAACAAACCCCGTCTGGACCTGAGGTAACCCAACAAACGTTGCGACAACTACATTAGCACGATCCACCACCAATAATACAACGTAAGAGGGACGCAGCAAAACTGTCGCGATGTGAGATTCACGCGCTTTAAGCTAAACGTTGACTCTTCGTTTCATTTATTAGTTATTATTATTATTCACTAGTCTCCTCCTTAATTTACTTGAATCTCTTCGTTACAAGTTTCCCTTTAATTACTCTAAGTAATTGCTTTAGGGTTTCGTAATAAATTTAAGGCAACGTAAACTTAAAGGAGTTTGAATAAAGTTACTTCAGGAAACAACATAACAACGGGTAATACAAAAAAAAACCATAAATAATTTATACTTTAAACTTTATGCAGCATCACATACTTAACGTAAATAAATGATTTACTGACTTACAAAACTACAAATATTTAAAGTTTTGACAAAATTAGATATGGTAAAAATTGGGTTTCTTTCTGTGACCAAGAAAAGAAAGGACAATTTAGTATAACATTTATATACCTTAATTGACTAAATAAGAGCTCAAAACAGAACATTTTTTACATTCAACAAAACGTAATTGACTAAAAAAAGAGCTCAAAACAAAACAATTTGTACATTTTTTTAATATTTGAAAGACCAAATAACAGAGAATTAAAACATGGGTCCCACAATAATCCAATCGTCAAATAATCTTCCACCTTTTTGCCACGTAGCACACAAAGTCACGTAAGCCCTTCCCCTACATTAGAGACCAAACTCAAAGACTCTCTCTTCTCCAAACCCAAAACATTGACAAACCGATAGAGAGAGAGAGACTTCTATCGTGCGCACATCTCTCTCTTAACCCTTATCCTGCGCACCACCATCACCATCTTCTTCTCCGGCGAAAAAAAAACCACCACCATGGGGAAAGGTCGTGCACTTTCCGACGGAGTGATAAAAAAGATCATCCTTTCGTACACCTATGTCGCAATCTGGATCTTCCTCAGCTTCACAGTCATCGTCTACAACAAATACATCCTCGACAAGAAGATGTATAATTGGCCATACCCAATAACTCTCACCATGATTCACATGGGTTTTTGCTCTTCCTTAGCTGTGATTCTCATCAAAGTCTTCAAAGTCGTCGAGCCTGTTTCAATGTCACGCGACACTTATCTCAGATCCGTCGTACCAATCGGCGCGTTGTACTCACTCTCTCTCTGGTTATCAAACTCTGCTTACATCTACCTCTCTGTTTCCTTCATTCAAATGCTCAAAGCCCTAATGCCTGTAGCTGTTTACTCAATCGGAGTTTTGTTAAAGAAAGAGACTTTCAAATCTCAGACTATGACTAACATGCTCTCGATCTCGTTTGGTGTTGCTATTGCTGCTTATGGTGAAGCTAAGTTTGATGGTTGGGGTGTTTTTCTTCAGCTTGGTGCTGTTGCTTTTGAAGCTACAAGGTTGGTTTTGATTCAGATCTTGCTTACTTCTAAAGGAATCAATCTAAATCCAATCACTTCTCTCTATTATGTTGCTCCTTGTTGTTTGGTTTTCCTCTCTGTTCCTTGGATCTTTGTGGAGTTTCCAGTTCTTAGAGATACTTCGAGTTTCCATTTCGATTTCATGATCTTTGGAACCAATTCTGTTTGTGCGTTTGCTTTGAATCTTGCTGTGTTCTTGCTCGTTGGGAAAACCTCTGCTTTGACAATGAATGTGGCTGGTGTGGTTAAAGATTGGCTTTTGATTGCATTCTCGTGGTCGGTGATTAAGGACACGGTCACACCGATCAATCTGTTTGGTTATGGACTTGCCTTTTTGGGTGTTGGATATTACAATCACTGCAAGTTACAGGCGTTGAAGGCTAAAGATGCACAGAAGAAGGTTCAGGCAAGTGATGAGGAAGCTGGGAAGCTTTTGGAAGAGAGGGAAAGTGAAGCTAAACGAAACGAAACCCAAGATTAATCAGATTCTGATTCTGGTTCAAGAATGCTATTTCAAGGAACAAGAGCTTCAAGGGTAAGATGATTTTGGATTTTGCATTGTCGGTGTTCGTCTACGTTTTAGTTTTGCGATTATATTTTTTAAGTTATGGCTGATTATATTACATAGTGATGGATGGGTGTTTCGAGTTTCATGAATCTTTTGAACTCCATTGTATCTTCTTCTTTTGAGTTATCTTTTGTTTCTTACTTCCTCATTATGAATCTCTATCGATGTGGGTAACAATTGTTGTAGTAGTAACTTCTTTATATTTTGCCCATTGAGATTTGTTAAATGTCAAATTGAAATTCCCTTCTTTTCTCTTTCTATATAAAACCGTTCTATGTTGGAAGTCAGAAGATGGTCATTACCAAAAACTTTTCGATATTTTATGGGTTATGTTGGATCATTTGGAAGCAAGATCCACAATTTCAGGCACTATATAGTAAATACCCACACCGACGTTACAATAATATGTTACGCCATCATATGAATACAGTGGTCTCATTTAACCTCTCCAAAGATCCTTCTTACTTTAGAGAGGCAAAATAGGTGTTACATACCAACCGAATAATGTGATCTTTTTTTTTTATCTCAACAAGCTCATGTCTTAGGTAAAAGGGACAGGCAAAATAGGTGTTACATACCAGAGGAACAACTCACGGAGTAGGGATTTCTCGGCAACGAATATCTGGGAACTTCAACACATTTGGTTCTAGTTTGACATAAAGCTGTTTTGTTCCAGATAGAATTCCTAAGCATGCATTGGTTTGTTGCTTTGTGACTCTGAAGACTGAACAGCGATTCTGACTCTAGGCAGATTTTTGTATAGGAGAATTGCATCACGCTGGTCGCTGGTTCTGCCGTCTGCGACTCTGCTCCGGTAATACAAGTCTACATTTTTCAAAAAATTTGTTTTATCAACAAGATGCACTGGCCATTTTCTTACCCTTTGCACATAGATGGAGTCGAGGAGTCTATAACTAAAATTTTTCGACTATATTGTTTTTCTTTGGTTATATCCGATCAGGTTTCAGACTAACCACTTTTATTTAAATTTCAACTAGAATCTTAAATTTGCTCATGTAGTGTACTAAGTTAGTTGCCTTGCCATTCAAAATGAGAAAGTTTACAAAATCACGAGTTTGAAAATTCAAAAAGTTTATTTTCCTAAAATAAAAATCAAAATTTATTAGTCCAATTAGACTGCACCAAACGCCTCACCAAAAAAAAATGAGACTGCACCAAACGAAATAGGGAAAAATGTCGTTAAAATCCCCAACTTATTCAAAACGTTGATTTAAATCCTCAACTCATGACGAAACGAAATAAATATCAAACTTATGTTGATTTTCTAAATAAATATTAAACTTATGTTGACTTTTCAAATAAACACCAAACTTTCATGTCAACATAATTTGGAAAGTCAATATAATTTTAATATTTATTTGGAAAGTTAACATAAGTTTGATATTTATTTCGTTTCGTTAAGTTGATGATTTAAATCAACGTTTTGAATAAGTTGGAGATTTTAGTGACATTTTTCCCAAACGAAATATATGTTCACGGACAGGACCACATCGGGTTTGGCAGATTTGGCAGCCTAGTTTCGACATCTACCAAACCCACTAAATAAATCTACACGGACACTAAAAAGCCAAATCAGCAATTCAACAAACGGTCCATATTCCACCACGTGGCTCTCATATAACTCGTCACGTCGACACCTATTAATACAGTTCTAATTATTCCCCTCCGTTTCCGGAACAGTAGCTAAACCGTGATCGGAAAGCTAGTTCCAAAGAAGAAACCAAAATCGGAGTCTGAAAGCAAATTATGCCTAATGTTTCTCAGATCTCTACTGTTCTACGTCTAGGGTTTTCTTCTAAAAGAAGACTCTCCAATGGCTTCCACTTCGTTTCTCGGTCTTATTCCACCTCTGATCCTCCCAAACCATCAGGTACTTTCATAATCTTTAATTCGTTGAGAATTATGCAATTGAGATTAATGTCGCTTATTATCAGGTCCACTGACGAGTTACAGTAAGTTAGTGGAGCAAGGGAGGTTACAACATGATCCATACCAAGAGAAAGTTGTTTCAGCATTTGAAAATTTGTTTGGAAGATTGGAACATTTCGAGAAGGAAATGGAAGATTATCATGTAAAAATTAGGCTCAATTGGAAATAGTGTAACGTTTTGGTTCAACTGGAAATAGTGTAACATTTTGGTTTTTAGGTGAGATTAGCAGAGTGGGAGAAGAAGAGAGAGGAAGAGCGGCGAAAGCTAATGGTGGAAGAAGCTGAGAAGAAGGAAGAAGATGGAATGTGGGCATCTGTGAATAAGCATGGGCAGAAGCTTTTGGGAAGATGGGTATTAGGGTGAGGTTTTGGTCAATTGTTTCTTCTTTAGTTGAATTTGTTTGTTTGTTTTTCAAATGGTTGACTTTTTTTGGTGTGTTTTAGGCGGAGACAGATGAATGTAGAACCTGGAGTTGGTAAATGGGTATCGTATCTTAACCGAGAGAGAAAACTGGACTCGATTGTTGGTTCTCGTCCTGCGGTACCACCAGCTCCAAAAGGATTGTATATCTATGGAAATGTAGGATGTGGTATGTTAATGGATGGTGCATTATGCTCTTACTGTATAACTAATAAGGTTAGGTTATTTATGAATATGTTTGGTGTTTCATGTAGGCAAGACTATGTTGATGGATATGTTTTTTGGCGCTACTGATGGAATCATTAGACATAGACAACGGTTTCACTTTCATGAGGTGTGTGAGCCTTTAGAGGTTCTTCTTTTATTTGTGTATAAAGAACTTAATTCAAACTCTGACATTTTTCATTTCTTTCTTTGTAGGCTATGCTGAAGATAAATGAACAAATGCACAAGTATTGGAAGGAGAATGGTGCCGAAAAGTCATCGCAATATAGCATTTCGAGCTGGATTATGAATCTTCCTGTTGATGAAAAAGTTAAGGAATGGCTAGCTGGAGAAGAATTTTATAAGCAGCAACTCCAAATGAAACACATTCTTCCAGCTGTGGCTGACAAGTTTCTCGTTGATCAGCAATCGAGTAAAAAAGGAGCCAGCATCCTCTGCTTTGATGAGATTCAGGTAATTGTATACTCAGTTCATCCTTCTAAGAATAGATTGTTGACTATGAGAAAGTAATGAAGTGTTAAAAACTAGGCTCGCTAACTGCTTATCCCTCAAAAGTCATAAAGCCAATTTAGTGTCAACAAGGGCTTAGATGAGACTGAACTTGCTAACTTTTGCCCTCGGATGAAGATGCAAATAGGGTTCATTCTTCCCATAACTTGGACTTTCTTGCATCTTCTGTTACAGACAGTTGATGTATTTGCTATTGTGGCCTTATCTGGAATTATGAGCAGATTGTTGGCTACTGGAACTGTTCTTGTGGCCACCAGTAACCGAGCACCACGGGAGTTGAATCAGGTTTCTTTTCTCTTCTCTTTAAGCCTTCTTCTATTTTCAGCAAATAGGTCTCTTTAACTAATTTCATGAAGGACATGTATCTTGATTACACATTGTCTTTGCATTGAGTCACTAATTTTCTCGCTTATGTTGTTGGTACAGGACGGAATGCAGAAGGAGATATTTGACAAGTTTGTTTCTAAATTGGAGAAACATTGTGAGATAATCTCAATTGGAAGTGAAGTAGATTACCGCCGAGTTGCAGCCCAAAACTCAGTTGAAAATGTGTGAATCACACTCTTTGCATTGTGTATTTGTTGGGTACTTTGCTTCTGTTTGATGAATTTGTAAATTTGCATTTATAGGTTCACTACTTATGGCCTTTAAATAAAGCTGTTCTGGAAGAGTTTGAGAAAATGTGGCTTCAAATCACTGACCAGTACGGTGGAGAAATAACCTCTGCGACTCTCCCAGTGATGTTTGGAAGGTAGAAATGAGAGCAACAGTGTTTCTTTTTGTTATGGATCAAATTAAATCACAGTGGTTTTTCTTTTTGCTTGTGATCAAACTAAATCGCAATGGTGTTTTTGCGTGTGTATCATCAGAACAGTGGAGGTTCCTCAAAGCTGTAATGGAGTGGCAAGATTCACATTCGAGTATCTTTGTGGTCGACCGGTAGGTGCAGCAGATTACATCGCAGTGGCCAAAAACTATCATACAATCTTTATATCTGATATTCCAGCAATGAGCATGGAAATACGTGACAAGGTATAAACCAAAATCAAGATTGATGGCTGTTGATGTTTGTCGATTCCTTCCTCTAAGGGCTTTTGATGTTATCAGGCACGTAGGTTTATAACCCTTGTAGATGAGCTATACAACCACCATTGTTGTCTTGTCTCAAGCGCGGAGACACCTATTGATGAGTTGTTTCAAGGAACTGCAGAGGGAACACTCTTTGACCTGGAAAGGTAAGAACACACAATTGATGAGTGGACAATCTGGTTTACTGTTTGATTCTGTTCAGGTTGTTGGTTTTCCCGGCTTTATTGAAACTAAAGTAAAATGAAAGCCTTTCTTTTAATTCGGTTTGGTTTTGGTTAGTTGTAGATTCTTCTTGATTAGGTAATGGCTTAATCATTTCGATTTGGAATCGGCTTAATCATTCCGATTTGGTATCGGCTTAATCATTTCGATTCAGTTTGGTTTATATGCCAGTCCCCTAAGTTGCACCAAGATGGTTTACTTTGTGTGGTGTTCACATAAATTTATCGGAAACTTGCAGCTTCCAGTTTGAGACGGAGACGGAAGATTCAAGATTAAGGCGAGATGTGCTTGCAGAAGGTAGCATAAGTGCAGCTGGATCGCCTTCTTCGATCGTATCAATGCTATCTGGCGAAGAAGAAATGTTTGCATTTGCTCGAGCCGTAAGTCGTTTCTCACTTCCTAATATTCCTTTCGTCCAAAAATGTGGTTTATATGGAGTATTTGGTAATTATGTTAAACGGTGCAGGCGTCGCGGTTGATTGAAATGCAGACTCCGTTGTACCTTGAAGGAGTTCATTTCTTGCATCCTTATTTCCATCAGCAAAAGTAATTCAAAAATAATAACAAATGAATAATTGACTTATATTGCGCCATTATTTTTTTCCCCTGTGATTATTGTTTAGCAGAAGTGACCAACCAAGGTTTGGTCTTTTACCTTTATACTAAGGCGATTCATGAATAAAAATGTTATTTTTGATGTTCTATCACTAAAACGTCTGCACTGTGAGTAACTTTCTTAGTTTTCTTATATTTAGACTAATCAATCTTTCAAGTAGATTTGGCTAACAACCAAAATCAACCCGAACAATTAATTTCCATAATGTCTTTTCATATCCAACAATCGGTAGTCGGTACCATGAATTAATGAACCTGAACCAACCAACAATTAAATTAAACACCTGGTTGTTTTTTGGTCGTTTTGGTTGATAATTTGATATATATGAGCAAAACAACGTCGTTGGTTAGTGTTCTTTGGTTGTCGATAAAAGAGAGTGAGAGCATTTCCGTCGCTCACACACCCAATTGAGTATCTGAAAAATAAAATAATATTAATTTTTTATTTATTTATTTGAACCAATCAGAAAATGATAAATGTAGAAATAAGTATCTAGAAGTTTCTCAAATGAGAAACATTTCTGTCCTCTCTCCTCTTTTCCTAATTTTTTATTCTGTTTCAGTGGGGAGTTTCTCACCTAGAATCTTTCATTGGAGATGCTCTGAGCTTAGGATTATATATGATGACAATGGGTCGAAGAGAATATTCCACGAAAACAACTTATGGTTAAGTAATTCGAAGAAATCCTAAGTTGTCAATGTATTATATATATATATCAAAAAAAAATCCCAAGTTGTTAAATGTATCGAAAACAACTTAGGATTCATGAAAAATGTTATTTCCCTTAAGATGTGTGATAAAGGCACGTGACTATTATATGTACCTACCAACGAGACCATTGGTCAGATATTTCGGTTGCCTGTGATGTGAGTTGACGCATGCATTTGTTATCATTCCGTTGGAATGAACTAATTGCATAGTGAAAAATAGTAATAAGGATTACTGAACTTGTACCGTTGTACGTTATCATGGAATGTTGGTTGAGACTGTCGACAAACATAAGATAAGTGATGCGACCACAGCAGAGAGGGAACTAACTCATACAAATGTCCGGTGAAAGATATTTGAAATGTCCTGATCCCGATTTTTTTTTTCACGTATGTGTATCCTATCATGTGTCTTTTCTTATCGGATCTTTTTCTCAAGCACTAATGAAATTGTTTAGTGAGTATCGTCACCTCTAAGAAGACCTTAAACAAATTTTAAAATTATATTAGAATTTTAAGATAATTTAATTTTAATCTAAAAAAAGATATTAAACCACTCTTTGGAAAATAAGTGTTTTTTGAGTTTTTCATCAGTATCTTAAAGAAGAAATTCTTTTCCTATTTTTTTTTTTTCTATATTGTGAAAAATCTACTCTAGAACTTTTTAATGAAGGTATTCTTAGTCATTTTTATATTTGTTACTCTCAATCAACGTCGCTAAATTTCCGATAGTTCATGGACCCGTCTCCATCATCTTTTGGATCATGACAAATTTATGCACTTAATTTCTTTGGACGAAGATCACATACAAAGAACACAATTATTATTCAAAAGTATTTATCAATATCTGAAAAGGAAAATAATCATATAAATATACAGTAATAGTTTAGTATTTGCTAAGAAGTAGAAAAATGGTAGTCTTAATTTTAAAGTTAAGCAAATCAACTTCAAAAAAAAAAAGTTAAGCAAATCAAACACAAAACTACAAAAGCTAATAACTCGAATAGTAAAACCACAAATAATTGAATTTCTAATCCCTCATTTTACTTCTTTACCAATTGTAGTCCTGTATTTTTGTTGACATCACTATTTGCAACTTATTTATTTCTTAAAAATAAACAAAAACATTCATACTTCATAGTTATACTGGCACTGTTTGACTAATTTTGACGAATTTTCCGTCTGAGAATATAATTATAGGATAATAAAGCTATAGAAAAAAGAAAAACAAACACCTAAAAACGAATATCATAGAAATTAAAATATAAATAAATACCTAACCGCCTAGCAGCCTCCGCCCCCAACCACTCACCCATTCAAAAGGCTAAAGCTGCTGCAACCAGCAGCGGTAGTAAAACCCTAACGACCTCGACGAAAGTGACAACCCCCAAATTCTCGACTCTACCCAAACACTCTCGTCGTCGTCACTCGATTTCCGTCGCACCCTAAAATCTTCTGTTTCTTATCCTTCACGAAGATGTGGAGGTCGTGAATCGTGATCACTTGTACCGCTTCTTGGGAACGAAGAACTTCATACGAGAAACTGTATTCATGGGCAAGACTGGAATCCAATTGTTCGACGATACGAGGAATGGGTTTTTCTCTGTATCCGATTTGGGATCCGATTGGAGCAGCCAACAGAACCCAAACTACCGGCCAGTTGGTGGATTGTTCGCGAGTGTTAATCAATTAGGAACTGGATTCGGGTCAGGACTTGGGTCCGGATCTATTTCGTCTCCGGATCCTCCCAACAGAGATAACAATAGTAGCTTCAGTGCTCAGCTTAATGATCTGTGCACAAAGTACTTACCTTTTAAAGATGAGGAGGAGGAAGAAGTTATTGGTGAGAAACGGAAGAAGAAGAAGAAAGGAGGGTTGAAACTGAAGCTTAAGATTTCTAATCCTTCGTTGCGGCGGTTATTAAGTGGAGCTGTGGCTGGAGCGATTTCGAGAACGGCGGTGGCTCCTTTGGAAACTATTAGGACTCATTTAATGGTGGGAAGTGGTGGCGACTCCACCACTGAAGTCTTTCGTGATATCATGAAGCAAGAAGGATGGAAAGGTCTCTTCAGGGGCAATTTGGTCAATGTGATTCGTGTAGCACCCGCTCGTGCCGTTGAGGTACCAATAGATTCGAAATTTGATGTAGAATAGCTTTGGAATTTTATATGATTGGTGAATTGGTTTGGCTGGACAGTTTTGTGTTCATATGAAGCTCAAGTTCTAAGGATTAGTTTGAGGCTTAAGCAATATCTAAGGATACGTTTTAGATGGTCTTCCAAATGCTAATTTTAACTTTTCTTTCAACTCTGTTCAGCTTTTTGTATTCGAGACAGTTAACAAGAACTTGACTCCAAAGCTCGGAGAACAGTCAAAAATCCCCATTCCAGCTTCGTTGCTCGCGGGGGCCTGTGCTGGGGTTAGCCAGACCCTCTTGACATACCCCCTTGAACTAGTCAAGACCCGCCTTACAATTCAGGTATGTCCTATAGAGTTTCCAGAGTTTTTTTTTCTTTCTGTAAAATGGTATTTAGAAGGTGTGATTTGGAGTCAACATGAGGAATTATTTGGTAAAATGTAATTTAATCCTGCTGTGGAAAGGAATTTAAGAGCTTTAAAACATTTAAGAATAGATGGTATATTGTAAGGGCGGGTGGAGTTTAGAGTTTGGCCACTGATGTGTGTCTTCGAAATCACTTTTCAGAGAGGTGTATACAAGGGAATAGTGGATGCTTTTGTCAAAATAATAAGGGAGGAAGGACCGACTGAACTTTACAGAGGTCTTGCCCCGAGCCTTATAGGAGTGGTTCCATATGCAGCAACAAACTACTTCGCCTATGACTCCTTAAGAAAAGCTTACCGTAAGCTGGTGAAGCAAGAGAGCATTGGAAATATCGAGACTCTTTTGATAGGCTCTTTAGCTGGTGCGTTATCAAGTACCGCAACTTTCCCCTTGGAGGTTGCTCGGAAGCATATGCAGGTGGGAGCAGTCGGTGGGAGGGTGGTTTACAAGAACATGTTGCATGCTTTGATCCGCATACTCGAGCAAGAAGGTGTTGCAGGTTGGTATAGAGGGCTTGGACCGAGTTGCTTGAAGTTGGTTCCTGCAGCTGGGATCTCCTTCATGTGTTACGAGGCATGCAAGAAGATACTCGTTGAGAACAACAACGAGGAAGCCTGAGCTCTATCGTTACAACTCACATGAGTACTTTTGGCTTTGGTCAGACTAACACGATGGCTCTGGTTAACCAAATTAGGTCATGGTTGATGATTCCGCAAGCATATGAGAATAGCGTTGTGCCAATTGAGACTTCACATTCACACAATTCAGAAGATTCGAGTTTAAAAATTTTGGGCGGGCACATTATTGATTCATTTGGAACTTAACATCCAAAAGATTCATGTGTTTTTTTTTTTTTTTTGCTTTGGTTCCTGTTTCGTTTTCCGGATCTGTCATAGTTTTATTTTAATTCTTTTTGTTGGCTCAAATAAGTTTAAATTACAGTGTCTAGAATTTAGACCCGTAAAGAACCAGAACTTTTTCAGAAAAAAGAAGAATTAAAGACGGATTATATACATTAATACATTAGAATGGTTTCTCATAGAACATGAGTTTATTTTATAGCAACACTTCCCACTACGAAACATGATATAACCAACACATAATCACAAGACCTATAGCTTCTTAGATTAATGGGGTTTCCTATTATATATCCACACACACATTTATATAGGGCTGAACATAACAGTGGGCAGCTCAGTGTCACATGAAACTGTTGCTCATAACTCCAGTGGTGGAAACAAAGGGGTTGATTCGGACCCAAAGTAATGAGAAGATGGATGCAAGAAGCGCAGACCAGACAATGACAATGGTCGGAGTCCGGTTCTGTCTTCCCAAAAGACCCTTCAAGAAAGGGTAAAGATGAGCAACAACCCAAAGAGCAAAAAAGAGCTTTCCCATGAGAGGTCCCCACGATTGGTAGCCACTGTTTATTGCATACGAGACCCCAACCACAATACCGACAAGGTTAACCAATAAGATAGTGGTTGGTGGGATGAGAAGAGACGTCCATTTGAAGACGTAAAGCTCTGCAAAGTCTCCATCTTCATCAGAGGCCTTCGATGTGACCGTGAAGTTTGTGTCAATCCCTGCAAAAACTTTGAGTAGACCTTGAAATACTGCAAAAAGATGAGCCGAGGTTCCACCGATGACCCAAAACTGCTCGTTCCTCCACCATTCTTCAAGGGCCACATCACTCCATCTGAGCTCCAAGATTGCCGATGCGTAGATGGATGTAAATAGCAGTATGAAACACAAGGACGCAGAGTTGCTTATCTGCAAATTGTAAGAAAATGCAATTTCAAAAAGGTAAATTGCAGTAAACGGATAAAAACCACAACATACCTCTGGTATGATGAACTTGTTGGTGATGAGGCAAAAAGCTGGAAGCATACAATAGGCGAGGAGCGGGATGGATGTAATTGGATAGACTATGGTATTGATGTAGGCAATTCTCTCCAACAGTTTCAACCTTCCATTATAGCCATACCATATAGGGCAATGTCTGCTCAGAAGAATCTCGATAGATCCCAAAGCCCACCGAAGAACTTGGTTCAAGCGGTCAGAGAGATTGATGGGTGCGGATCCCTTGAACGCAGGGCGTGGAGGCACGCAGTAGATTGATATCCAACCCCTTGCATGCATCTTGAATCCAGTAAGAATATCTTCTGTCACAAAACCGTAGATCCACCCGATCTAAAAGTCCAAAACATGAACAAGTTATCAGACAGAGAACAAAAGAATGGCTTTGTTGTTTGGACAGTCTTCTGAAACTTCTGACCTCTTTTCCCCATTCAGTCTTGGCCTCATAACCACAGCTTATGACATGAATCGCCTCCTTGAGAAGAGTCGTGGGGTTGGTTGATGGTGGAAGACCTCCTTGTTCCATGAAGGTAGCCGCAATAAACACTGGTGACTGACCAAAACGCTTCTCCAGCCTTTTCTGGGACACTAGAAGAGACATCTCATCATCATAGCCTGCAAGAACAAGAACTTTCAGTGAAAATTTTCTACTTTCACATTCGCAATAATGTGGTCACATAGAGGACGTGGCATACAGACCTTCAACACCCTCGTCAATGTCTTCCATACTGAAAAGTGGAACGTTGGAGTCACTTCTCTTGATGCTTCTGTTATGGTCATAGTTAGGTATTTTGCTTCTCTTTCCTTTCTTCCTCGAGCCAAAACAGCTCTTTATAATTATATTAGGCTCAAGATCTTCCTCTGTTAGAACAGGATCATACCCATACAGGGCCTGCCTGTTGAAACAGCAACCAGTGCCCACATACACAGGACCTTGGATACCATCTAACCCCTTCAAATTAATCTGCACAACATAATACACATCTGAGTTAGCTCAAGTGGACAAGATATGATCGAGAAGGAAAGTAAAAGACGGTGGTTGTGAATAGTAGAGCTAAACTCACATCAAAGAAGACAATATTCCTGTTGGCGTATCGATCATGCAAGTCAATACCATCGAAACGTTGTGGAAACTGCACGTAGCAGCACTTCTTTCCGATTGCAGGGTCCATCATGAAACACATGGCTTCCTTAATCGCCTTGCTGTTGTTGAAGTAATGATCACAATCAACGTTTAAAAGATATGCCCCATTAGTAAGAACAGCAGAAACACGGATCTGTCAAATGCAAGAAAAGCCAGATCAGGAGAAAGTAAAAGTCAGGTTTCAAGAAAGCATACTCGGAAGTGATCGACTAAAGGAATTCCCTAGAGATCGTAGTCATAGCAGCATTATGTAATATACCATGCAGCTACTCGGTCTCATAACACAAAAAACCACTTCCAAGCCTTTGAACAAAAGAGGGCACAACAGAAAATCGAAAGATAAAACGAACCAGTGAATTCATAGCTCCAGCCTTCTTGTGGTACTGAAATCCAGGACGCTTTTCTCGGGACACATAGATGAGCCTAGGTAGCTCATTTCCATCGGTATCCAGACCTCCACTATGGCCTAAGAAAACCTGAATTGTAACAAAATAATTAGCATCAACAAACATTATAGATAACTGTTAGCCATTCTAGGAGAAGTAAAACAAAAGGAAGGGATTTTACTAGTGTACCTGAATCATCCCAGGATGGTCTCTAGGGTTGTTTCCAGGCCAGGGTGTACCATCCTCCATTGTCCAGCCATCTTCAGGAATCTTCTGTGCTTTAGCAACAAGGATATTGATCCTCACTTTAAACTCCTCATACTCTCTCTGCCAGCGTATGACAAAAGAAAATGTGACATTCACTCTTTAGTCTCGTAAATATGTCCAATAGATAAAACAAGTAGAAGCTATATATGCAATAATAATAGTCCAAGTGACCTTCATTGCCCGCCTCTCTTTGACAAAAGAAGGTTGGATCTTATCCTTCAAGTAATCTATCTTCTGGGAAAAATAGAACTCAGGAGCTCTAGGTTCAATGTTGAATTTCTTGCAAAAAGGTACCCATTTCTTTGCAAACTCTGCCGTTTCAGAAAGGGCTTCAAAAGTTAGCATAGCTGAACCATCATCTGAAACATAACACGCAACTGTTTCTACTGGGTAGTCCACTGCAAGGATCGAGAGAACCGTGTTTGCTGTTACAAGAGGAGGCTCTTTCATTGGGTCCACCGTACTAACAAACACATCCACTGGAGCTAGCTGAGATGGTTCACCATCTCGATCATATCTACAATTAAAAGAAAAAAACCAAAACCAGAAAATTCAAATGCAAATAAACAAAACACTAGAAGTTCTTATTCTCGAATACATTGAGAAATAGTCACACATTTCACCTTAAAGCAAGCCTGTCAAGAAAAGTCTCCCTGTTAATGGGATACCATTTTGGAAACTGATCAAGAAGCCAAGAAAAGGCAAACCAGATCTCACAAATAACTGAGGTCAACCACATGGCATATGCATCTTTCACGGGATGAGTTGTACGATAATGCAAGAAGACTCCCAAAATGATGAGCCGAAAAACTATCACTATACGATAAGGTGTCATGCGAGAGGATGGGAAATTTACCACACGGCTCATAGGAAGTCGAGCATCATCAACCCTGTAAGTACAAGATCCATCAATAATCAGAAGCAAACGAGTCAGTAAAATCATGTAACTTAACATGTTTTCTGGATTAGACATTTATACTCGGAAAACAAGATCGGTTCTCAGCGTCACAACTAATAAATTGACCACTGCAAACTCCAAATGCAGACTGAAAATAAATCAACAATGTTTTTCTATATTACTTTTAACTTACATTTGGAGTTCATCACCATTTGACCCTGTCCCTTCAAATTCTCCTCCCTTCCCTTCATGGTATTTACCAGTCATTTGTATCATATTTTTCTCCTGCTTCAGCTTCCAACCTTCAACCCTTTCTTTCCAGTCAACATTCCCAAGCCCATAAGAGTTCAAGTCTTTTGATAGGTCCACGATTCTTACAGGCACTGCATATTTGTATTTAACATGTGAAAATCAAAAGATAATATACAATCTGATGATGGCAAAACAAACGAAGCAAATATTGACACATACCAGGTAGCTGTGGGTCAATACAAGGAGACAAAGTAGCTTTCCTATCCGGCGTAGGAATCTCTCCAGAAACCTATGTATAGAAATCATCAGGAAAAATTGATGCTGTGAAATAAGATCATCTTGAAAATGTCATTATATCAACGTTAGAAGACAAATGATATATTAGTCCCTACCGGATGGCCATGAGTAAGAAGAGAAATTGGTTGGGATTCTAGTCGAGATGACGAAGAGAACTCTTCAGCGCGATGTGGGAGTCTTGCCTTGTTGTTTACCTGGGTATAATCAAGCTCATTCTCGATATCATTGACATCATTCTCTTTTTCATCTCCTTCAACTCCAGGAGTCCCTATACCAACCAGATGTGCCAGAAAATGAAAATAAAGAACTGATTATTAATAGAGACAACCAGAAGATAATAGCACATAATACTACTGACCATTGTGCCGTCTGAATCTAGTCTTGCACTGCGGGCAACACTGAGATCCATCTTTCCTCTCATACTCATAACAAGACGGACACAAAGGGAAGCCACATTCATTACAAGCGCAAAGACATTGCCAGTTTCAGTGAGTCCAACATCGTCACCACAGATCTGACATATCTGACCATTCAGATCTTTCAAGGGTTTTAGCTGCACTTTGAACACAAAAGGATGTTAGAAAGAAAAAAAAACACAGAAACAGATCATAAAGGATCTAAACCAAATCAAGTTACAAGAACCATCTTTAAATGAATGCATATTTGAATTTTGGCTACTTTCACTGATGTTAAAGCTTTTTAAAGTTAGATTATAATGTGTCAGTGAGTATAAAGGCTTAGACTTTAAGAACCAACGATTAAGCAAAACAAATTAAAAACGTAGATCAAGAACCTATAACTGAAATTCACCAACATTGTCACTTCTAGATAAAGGGATAAAACTAAAAGCCAAAATTGGAACAAAAAAAACAAATCAACAACATTTACTCATAGATCTAAAATATGAACAA